TGCGGAGGCGGGGCGCCCGGGGGAGCCCAGGGTGTACGGGCAGGGCTGGGGGTAGGGGCGAGAATTCGGGTGCGGGGGAAGGGTGTGTGGGGAAGGAGCCCCCCACGCTTCCGAGGCAGCTCTTTGCACGCGGGGCCAAAGGCCTGGCCAGGCGGACAGGGCATGAAGTAGAGGGCGGGGCGTGGGGAGCGTCTGGGCAGCTTGTGTAGACTTCAAGGTTGTGTCATCAGGGCCGGGAGCAGTCAGTGTGGATGGGGGTGGGGAGGGGAGGGCTTGAGGGAGGGGCAGTGGGTGTAGAGAGGGGAGGGCAGAGGGGAGGAATGTTGGTGGGGTGGGGGTTTGGGGGGGCAGGTGCTCCAGGCAGGGCTGGGGTAGGGAGCCTGCAGGAGGCACCCACCTGGAAGGCCTGCGTTGGTCTAGAGAAGGTGGGGCTGGAGAGGCGGGTGGGGGTGGGGAGTGTCAGCGCATCTGCAGGGCACGTGCTTTCTTTAAGACTCAGCTGGAAGGGTTCCCCCACCTCCCTTTCAGGCCCTGGGCCTGCCTGGTGCCATCGCGCCTGACGTCCTCCTCACGTGTCCCACCGTCTCCCGTCCTTGACTCTGAGCTTGGTTATCTGTGTCCCTGGCACCAGCCCCAGGCCCTCAGCCAGCACTTGCAGGGTGCTTGCATGGGTGAGTGGATGAGAGCATGGGGTGTCATCTTTGGTGGCTAGAGCTCAACTGGTAGGATCGGAGGCTGGCAGTTATTTGGGGCTCTTTGAAGAGGGCTTTTGGTCTGTGTTTATGGTCAAGAGCAAAATGTGCTGGGACTTCCCTGATGGTCCAGTGGCTAGGACTCTGCTCCCAGTGCGGGGGGCCCAGGTTCGATCCCTGGTCAGGGAACTAGATCCCACATGCTGCAGCTAAGAGTTCGCATGCTGCAACTGGAGACCCCGCATGCCTCAACTGAGAGCCAGTGCAGGCAAATAAATAATACTAAAAAAAAAAAAAAAAAAGCAAAATGTGCTAGAAACAAACAGACAAGCACTGTGGAAGTATATGAAGAAAAAAGGTCAAAGTCACACCTTGGGCCCCTAGTCTCACTGGCTGGGGTGACCATAGTGTGTGTGTGTGTGTGTGTGTGTGTGTGTGTGTACATTCCCCAGCCCCTGGCAAACACTGATCCACTTTAGGTCTCTATGGATTTGCCTGTATTGGATATTTCATATAAATGGGATCATACAAGTTTGTGTCTGGCTTCTTTCACGTAGCGCGTGCGGTGTTTTATCCATGTCACAGCGTGTGCTGGTTCTTCGTGGAATAACACTCCATGGTATATGGATAAACTACACTTTGTTTATCTCTGGATAGTTTGATGGCCATTTGTGTTGTTGCCACCTTTTGGCTCTTATGAATGTGCTGCTATGAACAGTGTGCCAGTTTTTGTGTGGCTGTGTGTTTTCATCTTTCTTGGATATATACCAAGGAGTGGAATTGCTGGAACATGTGATAATTCTATATTTAACCGTTTGAAGAACTGTCAGATTGCTTTCCACAGCAGCTACACCATATTCTACGATCCCATGGGCAGGGCATGAAGCTTCCAATCTCTTCACATCCTCACCAGCACTTACCATCTGCCTTTTTGATTATAGACATTTAGTCCTAATGGGTGTGCAGTGGTTTCTCTTGATTTTGATTTGCATTTCCTGATGACTGATGTTGTTGAGCACCTTTTCTTTTGCATATTGGTTATTTCTATATCTTCTTTCCAGAAATGTCTATCCAGAGGCTTTGTCCATTTTTAAATTGGGTTTTTAGCTTTTTATTTTTGAGTTGTAAGTGTTCTTCATGTATTCTAGATATAAGTCCCTTATCAGGTAGATGATTTGCAAAAATATTTTCTTGATTCTGTGGGTTGACTTTTTATTTTTTTGATGGTGTGGTGTCCTTTGGAACACAAAAGATTTTAATGGTGAGTTCAATTTACCTGTGTTTTTCTTGGTTGCTTGTGCCTTTAGTGTCATATCTAAGCACTATTGCCTATGTCAAAGTCATGAAGATTTATGGCAATATTTTCTTCCAAGAGTTTTATAGTTTTAGCTCTTACATTTAGGTCTTTGATCTATTTTGAATTAATTTTTGAGTACGGTGTGAGGTAGGGGTCCAACTTTATTCTTTTTTTTTTCTTTTTAACTGTGCCTTGAGGCTTGCTGGGTCTTAGTTCCCCAACCAGGGATCGAACCCGGGACCCCCAGCAGTGAGAGTGCTTAGTCCTAACCACTGGACCGCCACATAATTACCCCAACTTTACTCTTTTGCACGAGGATACCCAGTTGTTCCTGCACCATTTGTTGAAAAGATTATTCTTTCCCCATTGAATGGTCTTGGCGCCCTCATGCTTTTCAATGGGTACTACGTGTTCCATTGCATGGAGGTATCTCCGCTTGTTCATCTGGTCCCTTGACATGAACATGTGGGCTTATCTTTAAAAATGATTGTATTTCTAAATTGTCCTCTGGCGTAGATGAGCCAGCAGATACGACTAGTTCCAATCCTTTGCCAGTTGATGGAGGAGAAAATTCTACTTTGTTTTAATTTGCATTCTTTGACTAAGTGATCATCATTTCGTAGTTATTCACTGTTTGTATTGAAAAGCATTGTTCATTTCTCTGTAAGGTGTTTTGTTTTGAATTATAAGAGTTCTTTATTTATTATGACTTAACTTCCTTGTGTGTTATCAGTGTTTCTAATTTTTCTTTCAGTTTGTTACATTTTTTAAAATAAATTTATTTATTTATTTATAGCTGCATTGGGTCTTCATTGCTGCACGCGGGCTTTCTCTAGTTGCGGCGAACGGGGGCTACTCTTCGTTGCGGTGCGCGGGCTTCTCATTGCGGTGGCTTCTCTTGTTGCGGAGCGCAGGCTCTAGGCGTGCAGGCTTCAGTAGTTGCGGCACATGGGCTCAGTAGTTGTGGTGCGTGGGCTCTAGAGTGCAGGCTCAGTAGTTGTGGCGCACGGGCTTAGTTGCTGCGCGGCATGTGGGATCTTCCCGGACCAGGGCTCGAACCCGTGTCCCCTGCATTGGCAGGCGGATTCTTAACCACTGTGCCACCAGGGAAGCCCAACAAAGAGGATTTTAAATATCTTTTCTCCCACCTGACTCAGCTTTCCGAGGGCAGGGTCTGTGTCCTGTTGCACCTCGTTAATGTGGTTTGAAAATGAGCAGGTGAATGGGAGGGAAAGTGGACCCCGAGCTGGACCCCTGCAGAAACCCAGACCCCAGACTGGGCTGCCATAGAGTGGGAGTGGAGGTGGGGGTGGGGAGCAGCGCGGGGGGGGGGGGGGGGGGGGAGTGGTGCCTCTGCAGCAGGGGCGGTGGAAGAACAGGAGCTTAGCTTGGGGGCAAATAAACTGAGATGATGGTTGAGCTGGGCACCATGTGAAGACTCGAGTGGCTGGGAGGACCAGGCTGGGCACTGTGCTTGGGGCCCTCACGGTGGTGGGGGAAAGCCTGAGGCAGAGGGGGAGCCTTCCCCAGGGGGTGGTCCGGGCAGCCCAGTGAAAGGGAAGGAGCGATGAACCAGGAGCCGGCTGCCCTTAGAGCGCCTGGCGTGGTCATAATGGATATCGGGACCTTAGGGAGACCTGTTTGGGGGCGTGGTCAGATTGGGGGTGCCAAGGGGTGTGTAGGAAGTGAGAAGGGAGGTGGAGACGGTGAGGAGTCCAGCAGTGTGTGAGAGGGAGACCGCCATCCAGGACGGGGCAGTGACCTGGAGGCCGAGCTGTCAGCAGAATGCAGCCTGGGCAGAACACTGGCTGGCAGGGGCCTGGGTGGCCCGAGTGCTGTGTGACCCTTCTCATTTGCCCAACCACACATGCTGGGGGTGGGTGTGACAGCCCCTTGCCACCCAGGGCCCTGTGGTTCAGAAGGGGTAGAGGCTTCTACAGGTGTGGGGATGGGAAGGCGTGGGGGACGGGAAGGCGTGGGGGATGGGAGGGCATGGGGGAGGGAAGGCGTGGGGGAGGGAACGCGTGGGGGATGGGAAGGCATGGGGGATGGGAAGGTGTGGGGCTGGGAAGGTGTGGGCGATGTTGACTCCTGGCCTCCGTTTCCCCAGTGAGACCTGAGGGGAGCTGGCAGCAGGGCGGGAGTTGGCGGCAGGATCTGGGCACCTTGGGAACAGATGCAGTGAGGCTGGAGAGGGATGGTGCAGGTGGGGGGCCAGGCGCCCCCGCCCGGCGTGGGGCCAAGGGCAGTGGCCAGAAGCAGGCCCACACTGGACAGGGAGATGCGGGGCTGCGAGAGCTGGTGCTGTGGCTGCCTGCAGGGGCTGTGGGTGGTGAGGTCTGGGACCTAAGAGGGGCCATGGGCTGGGTCATCTGGTGGTGGCCCCAGGTGATGGTGGCTGGGTGGAGGGGGAGTCAGGAACCCCTTCTCAGGTGATGGGAGGCGGGTGCCCACATGAAAGACTCAGGGAACAGCCTGCAGGGCTTCCTCCCCTCTCCCTTCGTCCCGTCCTCCTCTGGGGGAGCTTGGGTCATGGTTTAGCTGCAGAAGGGTCTTCCCAGCTGGGTGGTCAGCTCTTGGCAGGGACCTTTCCTTTCCTGCTGCCCTGGGGTCAGGAGGAGGATGGGGGGCATCTGCTACCCACGCTGGTTCGTGAGGTGGGGGCAGGTCCGGGGCCAGTGCTGCAGGAAAGGAAGGCCCTAGAAGGATGTCCGGTGTGGCTGCCCTGGAGTCTGGGAGATCTCAGGCAGGCTTGTGGGTCAGGTGGCCTGGGGGCTGCACGGGTGCCCGGTACAGTGGGGTTTGGGGGGCCCTCCATGGCAGGCGTGGTTGGGGAGCTGGTGGTACAAGACTGGAGGATGCAGGCTTGAGGCCGTTGGCAGCAAGCCAGAGAGAGGTGTCTGCATCAGGTGTCTCTGGCTGGGTGGATGGTTTTTATGATCTTTATTCAGGTCTTTTTTTGTCTTTCAAGTGAGTGCGTATTTTGAACTTTTGAAACGTACCTTTCTTCTCCTTTCTTATTAAATGAATGGCTACGTGGGAAGCTTATAGAACAGGCGCAGGGTTAAGCCTCATGGGGCACGACTGAGCTTCACTGTTGTCATTACTACAGGATCTCATGGATGTTTTCAGAATACAAATAGCCCCCACTTGCCACACTCTGGGTGGCTTAAAACAGTAGAAATGTATTCTCTCACAGTTTAGGAGGCAGAAGTCTAAAATCAAGGTGTCAGCAGGGCCGAGGCTTTAGGGCAGATTCCGGCCCGCCCCTCCCGGATTCCCGTGGCTGTCAGGTTCCTTGGTTTGCGGCTGCATCACTGCAGAATAGGCCTCCATCTTCAACACGCCTCTCCCCTGCGTCTTCTCTTCTGTCTCTTGTGAGGACACTTCTGATTGCATTTTAGGGCCTTCCTTATGGTCCAGGATGATCTCATCTCAAGATTCTTCACTAAGTTATGACTACAAAGACCCTGTTTCCAAAAGAGGTAACTTTCCCGGGTTCTAGGGATTTGGAGATAGACATGTATTTTCAGAGCCACCATTCAGCCCGCTGCAGTCTGCCCTCTGGCCTCCTAAAATTCATGTCTGTCACATGCAACGTGCGTTTGCCCCAGCCCAGCATCCCCAAAAGTCTTACAGCAGCAACCCTCAGTCCAAAATCTCACCAGCTCAAAAGCCCAGTCTCATCTAAATTCTCTAAATCAGGTATAGGTAAGGTTCTGGGTATGGCCCACCCTGGGGCAAAATTGCTTTCCATTTGTGGACCTGTGAAACTGGAACGCATGTCGTATACTTCCAAGATACAATGGTGGGACAGGCATAGAGTAGACATCCCCTTTCTCAAAGGGAGAAAGAGAAAAGAATAAAGGAGTCCCAAGCCATTTTGAAATCCAGCAGGGCAAGTTCAATAGGTTTGAAGGCCTGAGAATACTCCTATGTGGCTTGATGCTTTGCTCTGTACACGTTCACCTCTGCCGGCCTCTGCCACTGTGCCCGTGGCTCCACCCTCTGGGCCCAAGGCTCTGCCCTTGAAGTCATTTTCCCTTTTTCTTGCCAGACAGCATATGAAACTGAGTAGCTCTGTCACCCCATTTCCTGCCTGTAGTATCCCAGAATTCCAACAGCTTTCCTTCCTTTCTTCCTGTCTCTATCCTCTTGCATCCAAGCTGGCAGTGTTTCTGCTAATACAACATTCTTATACACCTTGCGGGTCTCCCATGTATGACACAGAGATCCATGCCATCAGGTTAGAGGCTTCTCCACAGAGCTTTCCTGGATGACCCTCTCTATCCCCAGCTTCTGCTGTGAGGTTTGAACGCATCTGTGAGTCAGAGATCAAATCTCTTCAGAGGACGATTGTCCAGTTGCATCCTTGTCTTTCTGTCCTAACAGTGAGTCTTCCCACATTAGCATCTTCTGCAGTCTGAACAGGCCGTGAGTTTCCCAATCACCAGTGCTGGTTCTTTTTTTGCTTAACAGTTCCTTCCACGGTTTACGTCTTTCCTCCTGCACTTTACAGTAAGGAACAGGTTAAAACCAGGTCACACCTTCTACACTTTGCTTTGAAATCTCCTCAGCTGAAGATCCAAGTTCATCACTTATAAGTTCTGCTTTCCACGCAACAGTGGAACACAGTTCAGCCACATTTTTTGCACCGTTTAATCGGGATCACCTTTCCTCCAGCTTCTGGCAATATGTGCCTCATTTCCTTCTAAGTCATCACCAGCAGCATCCTTAACATCCATATTTCTTCCAGCAGCCTGTTCAAGGCAATCTAGGCTTTTTCTATCATGCTCCTCAAAATTCTCCAGCCTTTGTCCATTACCCAATTCAAAAACCAGTGCCATGCTTTTAAATATTTGTCACTCCTGGTAAAAATGTCTTCATTAGTTTCCTGTGTCTGCTGTAACAAATGACCACACACAGGTGGTCTAAAACAACAGAAGTTTATTCTCTCATACTTCTGGAGGCCAGAAGGCCAAAATCAAGGTGTTGGCATGGCCGTAGTTTCTGTGAAGGCTCTAGAGAAGACCCTTCCTGCCCCTTCCAGCTTCTGCTGGCTCTTGGTGTTCCTCGGTTTGTGGCTGCACCATTCCAGTCTCTGCCCCATCTTCACATGGCTTCTCCTCTGTGTATCTCTCTTCTGTCTCTTATAAGGACACTTGTCATTAGATTTAGGTCCCACCCAGATAATCCAGGGTGATCTCATCGTGACATCCTTAACTTAATCACATCTGCAAAGACCCTATTTCCCAATAAGGCCACAGTCACGGGTCCCAGGGATTTAGATATGAACATATCTTCCAGGGGCCACCGGTCAGTGCTTTCCCTTCAAGGTGCCCTGCAGTGGTTGATTGGTGTTTTGTAAAACCTCCACATCTTTTTGTTTTATGCTTGTTGTTTTATTTTTTTTTAATTAAAAAAAATATTTATTTAGGTTGCGCTGGGTCTTAGTTGTGGCAGGCGGGCTCCTTAGTTGTGGCATGTGGGCTCCTTAGTTGTGGCTCACCGGCTCCTTAGTTGCAGCTTGCCACTCTTTGGTTGTAGCTCGAGGGCTCCTTATTTGCAGCAGGAGGGCTCCTTAGTTGTGGCTCACCGGCTCCATAGTTGTGGCTTGTCAGCTCCTTAGTTGTGGCACTCAGGCTCCTTAGTTGTGGCATGTGAATTCTTAGTTGCGGCATGCATGTGGGATCTAGTTCCCTGACCAGGGATTGAACCCTAGCCCCCTGCACTGGGAGCATGGAGTCTTAACCACCGCACCACCAGGGAAGTCCCTCTGCTTGTTTTAAAAAAATGTGCACAGGGCTCCCCTGGTGGTGCAGTGGTTGGGAGTCCGCCTGCCGATGCAGGGGACGCGGGTACGTGCCCCGGTCCAGGAGGATCCCGCGTGCCGCGGAGCGGCTGGGCCCGTGAGCCATGGCCGCTGGGCCTGCGCATCCGGAGCCTGTGCTCCGCAGCGGGAGAGGCCACAGCAGTGAGAGGCCCGCGTACCGCAAAAACAAAAACAAAAACAAAAACAAAAACAACAACAAAAAATGTGCACAGTATTTTATAGTATAATTTAATTTATTTATAACTTTATAATCTAATATCATGAAGTATTTTAGGCACGTGTAACTTCTTTTTACCTAATGTTACAAGTACGTCTCCCTATGACATTAGTTTATAATATAATATTCTTTTATATGGTAATCATATCCTATTTAACCTCTTCCCATGGAACATTAGGTTTAGTTTTGTTTAGTTTTGTGGGGTTTTTTTGTATTGTAAACTGCTACATAGAAGAGCTTTGTGGCTGGATCATTGTGTGTCTATGGCTATTGTTAGAAATAGAATTTCTGGGTCAAGTAGTATGCAAAATTTAAGCTCTAGCTACACCAGGGTGCCGTGTTTTCACCTATCAGATTGGTAAAAATCCAGAAACCCAGAATTTCTGGATTGCATTAGTGAACCAGTGGAAACCAGGCCAATGAAAATGTCTATCAGGCCTAAGAACGCAGTGTGTGTGTGAGAGCCAAGGATGGCAGCCAGCGTCCTGAGGGAGGGTGGAGGCAGGGGTGCAGCGGGAGACCTCCCAGGTGTGGGGTCGGATGGTGCAGGCGAGGTGTTACTTTTTTTTTTAATTAATTAATTAATTCATTCATTTATTTATTTTTGGCTGCGTTGGGTCTTTGTTGCTGTGATTGGGCTTTCTCTAGTTGGGGCTACTCTTTGTTGCTGTGCAAGAGCTTCTCATTGCAGTGGCTTCTCTTGTTGCGGAGCACGGGCTCTAGGCATGCGGGCTTCAGTAGTTCTGACACACGGGCATAGTTGCTCCTCGGCACGTGAGATCTTCCCAGATCAAGGCTCAAACCCATGTCCCCTGCATTGGCAGGCGGATTCTTAACCACTGTGCCACCAGGGAAGTCCCGAGGTGTCACTTTCTGTGTTAAAAGGGGGAAAACCAAGAATCATGTTTCTATTTATGTGACTTTCCACATAAAGAAATTTCGGAGGGATAAAGAGGAAGCCAGTCCTGATAGTGATTTCCACACTGTGTGCGGGGTGGAGAGGGGACACTCTTGGGGGGAGACTTTTCCCTGTATGGCCCATGTTTGCATCTGGGGAGTAGTTCCATTCAAACACAATATATTTTAAAAGTTCCTAAGGTGTTTGCTAGGTATTACAGCAGCGCCCAAAAGGGCTCGCTCCCTACACCTGCCCAGCACCCGGTGACAGGGTTTCAAGCAGACAACAGAACCTCGCCGATCTGATATAAAATCATGTGAGTGTCCGAAGGAGGCAATTATTAAGAGTCGGTGCGGCGGGGCTTCCCTGGTGGCGCAGTGGTTAAGAATCGGCCTGCCAACGCAGGGAACACGGGTTCAAGCGCTGGTCCGCGAAGATCCCACGTGCCACGGAGCAACTAAGCCCGTGCGCCACAACTACTGAAGCCCGCGCGCCACAACTACTGAACCCGTGCGCCTAGAGCCCGTGCTCCGCAACAAGAGAAGCCACCGCAATGAGAAGCCCGTGCACCGCAACCAGGACTAGCCCCCGCTTGCCGCAACTAGAGAAAGCCCGCGCACAGCAACGAAGACCCAACGCAGCCAAAAATTAATTAATTAAAAAAGAAAGAGTCGGCGCAGGGCTGGCAGGGCTGGCGGGGCCAGCAGTGGGGTGCAGGGGTGGGTCAGAAGCGCAGTTCCAGCTCGGGACACAGTGGTCCTGCGAGGTCGGACCTCTGCATTGGGAATGTAAGTCTCCCCATGGGTCTGGTTTTTGCTTTGTGCTTGTGGGGCTTTCTGAAGTTAAGTTCTGACTGATTTTTATTTATCTTGTTCCAGAGTAGTGTCTGTCCTGCACTGCGAATGAAGGTTTTTCCCACCCTCTTTTTCCAACTCATTACTGGCCTATAAGAAATCTCTTGGGCCTTTAGAAGGGTGCTGACAGCCGGCCACTCTAGTGAGCGCCTTTGTTGGTGCTGGTAGGTGGTCAGAGGCACTGGTTTAGGTGCCGAGGAGGTGCAGACTCTGAACGCTTGGCAGTGCTCCGCATCCGGAGCCTAGGTTCTTTCCCCTCACATGCCCTGGATCAGCCTCGCCCGCAGCTGAGCCCGGAGGCTTGCCCTGGCCGCCTGTGGGAGTGGCTTTGGGGGTGTCCCGGCCACCATGCTGAGCCTACAGCCCTTCTGCTCCTGCTTCTGGTACTTCCTATGGACGACGCCCCTGGGGCGGGGGCGGGGGCGGTGGCCGCTCAGATTTGGAGGGACGTCTGTTCTCATGTTAACGATATGCAGCCAGCCGTCCCCATCCACGGTCTGCAACTGGGGATTTAAATAATAGATCAAAAGTACTATTGGGGGGCTCCCCTGGTGGCGCAGTGGTTGAGAGTCTGCCTGCCGATGCAGGGGACACAAGCTCGTGCCCTGGTCCAGGAGGATCCCACATGCCGCGGAGCATCTGGGCCCGTGAGCCACGGCCGCTGAGCCTGCGCGTCCGGAGCCTGTGCTCCGCAACGGGAGAGGCCACAGCAGTGAGAGGCCCGCGTACCACACACACAAAAAAAGTACTATTGGGGTGGGACTTCCCTGCTGGTCCAGCGGTTAAGATTCTGTGCTCCCAATGTAGGGGGCCAGGGTTCGATCCCTGGTCAGGGAACTAGGTCCTGCGTGCTGCAACTAAGACCCGGTGCAGCCAAGTAAATAAATAAATAAATGTTTTTTAAAAAAAAAGAAGTACGGGGTGGGGGGGGATTCCAGAAAGTTCCAAAAAGCAAAACTTGAATTTGCTGTAGGTGCTCAAAGACAGCTATTTACATTTACATTGTATTTTTTTAAAAAATAAATTTATTTATTTATTTTTGGCTGCGTTGTGTCTTTGTTGCTGCGCGCGGGCTTTCTCTAGTTGCGGCGAGCGGGCGCTATTCTTCGTTGTGGTGCGCGGGCTTCTCATTACAGTGGCTCCTCGTTGCGGAGCACGGGCTCTAGGTGCGCGGGCTTCAGTAGTTGCGGCATACAGGCTCAGTAGTTGTGGCACATGGGCTTAGTTGCTCCGTGGCATGTGGGATCTCCCCGGACCAGGGCTTGAACCCATGTCCCCTGCATTGGCGGGTGGATTCACTGCACCACCAGGGAAGTCCCTGCATTGTGTTTACAACTGTTTACATAGCATTTGCACTGTATTAGGTTATACGCAAATACTACTCCAGTTTTTTTGTGTTTTGTTTTGTTTTGTTTTTTGCGGTACACGGGCCTCTCACTGTTGTGGCCTCTCCCGTTGCGGAGCACAGGCTCTGGATGTGCAGGCTCAGCGGCCATGGCTCACGGCCGCAGCTGCTCTGTGGCATGTGGGATCTTCCTGGACCGGGGCACGAACCTGGGTCCCCTGCATCGGCAGGTGGACTCTCAACCACTGCGCCACCAGGGAAGCCCTACTCCAGTTTTTATAAGGGACTTGAGCATCCAAGGCTTTTGTTGTTGGCTGGGGTCCTGGAATCAGTCCCCCTCAGATGCTGAGGGTGCCTGGACCTCCTTTCCCAGTTTACTGGGTCACTTTGTAAAAACCAGAAATATTTGTGAGTTTTTATCAAATGAGTCATCAGCAGTTTTGAGATCAATATACAGGTTTTCTCCTTCAATCTATTAACCAAGTAAACCTCTATTAATAGTGTTCCTGGGAGTACCTCATCCTTGAACTGCAAGCATCCACTGCTTGGTTTCCCTGCGTGGATGCCTCTGACCAGGCCTGGGGTGCAGGGGTGCTGAGACAGGCATCCCCGTGTGAGAGCACTGTCCCCACTGTCCCTGCTAGAGGAAACCGCAGAGGGGTCTGTGCAGCAGGACGACACAGGACAGGACAGGATCGGGAGGCTCTCTGTAGCCCTGAAATAGAGCAGGTGTGGCAGCGGGGCTGTGGCTGCTGAGTGTCTGGCGGTGGAAGGCAGCAAGGAGGCCAGGGCTGTCTCCAAGGGGAGGAGGGTGGTGGTGGAGACAGTGGGAAGAGGACAGGTTTGAGAGATATTTGGGGGGGCAGAATGATGGGACCTCCTGATGGATGGAACATGGGGGTGGGACCCAGGATCCCTGCCCGAGGTCTCTGGTGGACACCTGGTAACGGTGCAATTTTTGAACTGGGCTACAGGGAGAGAGAGCTGGATGGGGCCCAGATGGGAAGCCGCTGTGCCTCCTGGGCCATCACCAGGACCCCTGGCGCCCTGGCGGCACTCACCACAGTGCTGTGGACCTGGCCCTGTGGGCGGAGCCGCACAGGGTGGCTGGCGTAGCTGAGCTCCCGCCTTCGTCAGCCAGTGGCTGCCCACGTGCAGGAGCATTCTCCTCCTGCCCAGCCTGGCAGCTTCCCCAGATCAGGGCCAATGCCAGGTGGCGGCTGTGGGTGAGGCCTGGTGGTGCAGGTGAGATGGCCTCCTGTCCCCACTGCAGGGAACAGGCACAGTCTGTAGCGGGGTCTCACTGGGTGATTATGGGGGACCCTGCGTGGAAGGTGTCTGTCAGCAGGGCCGACAGCTGTCACTTGTCACCCCTGCACAGGATCACCTGCCCACCAGTCACTAGTGAGCCCCGGTAGGGCAGGCTGCCCAGGGCTGGGCACAAGTGTGAGGCTGGGGAGCCCTGGTGAGGAACACGGACCTGGCCTTGGGAGCAGGGGGGTGGTCTGAATGGTGGGGGCTGTGGCCTAGGCCACACCTGCCAGGGTCTCAGGAGGCTTGTGAGGAGGGGGTGCTTTGTCCCAGACAGAGGGGCTGGGAAGGAGGGGGCCTGGCTGTGGTGTAGGGGCTCAGCTTGGGTTGCAGGAACCACAGGGGTGTAAGCTGCCTCCTGGAATTTACAGTAAAGCTTCAAGAGCGTTCGGCCTTGCGCATGAGGCGAGTCCCTGGTGCAGGCGACCTGACAGGACCCCGGCTGGGCGTGGGGAAGCCGTGCCGGGTCAGACAGCCTGCTTTCTTGAGGACCCTGGGACTAGATCTCCTGGGCAGCGAGACCGTGAAAGCTGAGGACTGTCGGGAGGGCCAGGGCTGTTTCATCTCACCCACCAGAGGCACGCTGCCCCCATCTCTTGCCCCCAGGCCCTTGCCCGCTGCAGTCCAAGGGGCCTCCCTGGCCCAGGGGAACCCCGCCTACAGCTCTGTGTCCAGGCGCCCTCCACGCACATGTTCTCTGGGGTTGGCCAGACTCCTCTCCTCTTGACCTGGGGCCTTCGTATGTGCGTCCGCCTCCTTGGCTGACTAGCTGCAGCCTATCTTTCCACGGCCCCACTTTAGCTGCCCCTTCCTCTGGGAAGAAACCAAGGAATGGGCTCGGTGTGTCCCGTGGACTCTATCCAGGGGCCGTGGCCCCAGCCCACTTCCCAGGCCACACCATGTGGCTGCCATTTGGGGCAGACTGGGCAGGGGCAGGCCGAAGGCCTCTTCACTGGCCACCCCTTCTCTGCGAGCCCTTGTTTGCAAGTGGCTGCAGGTGACTGCAGTGGCCACTCTCTGGTGGGCAGCGTGACTTGAGGGAGCAGTTAAGGGCCTGGGACATTCCTTCTCTGTCCCCATGGTTCTGAAAAGTTAGGAGAAGCCACCTAATTGCGCCTGATCCTTGTGTTATCCCGTTACTTGCTTTCTGCCCTCATCTTTTCAGTAGCTTAAAATTATAATCTTATAAAATTCAATTATACACAGTTTTGTTTGCTTTTTTGGCCGTGCCGTGTGGCTTGTGGGATCTTGGTTCCCCAACCAGGGATTGAACCCTGGCCCACAGCAGTGAAAGCGCTGAGTCCTAATCACTGGACCGCCAGGGAACTCTCAAATATATGCAGTTTTAAAACTAGAACCAGCGCTAATATTGTGTGTGTGTGAGTTTCCCTAC